CCACCACACGCCAGGGAGTGTGCTCACACGGGCCAAGATGGTGTAGCCACCACACGCCACGGAGTGTGCTCACACGGGCCGAGACGGTGTAGCCACCACACGCCACGGAGTGTGCTCACACGGCCCGAGACGGTGTAGCCACCACACGCCACGGTGTGTGCCCACACAGGCTGAGAAGGCGTAGCCACCACACGCCACGGTGTGTGCTTACACTGGCCAAGACAGAGTAGCCACCACACGCCACGGTGTGTGCCCACACAGGCTGAGAAGGCGTAGCCACCACACGCCACGGTGTGTGCTTACACTGGCCAAGACAGAGTAGCCACCACACGCCACAGTGTGTGCTTACATGGGCTGAGACGGTGTAGCCACCACACTCCATGGAGTGTGCTCACACGGGCCGAGATGGTGTAGCCACCACACGCCACGGTGTGTGCCCACATGGGCCGAGATGGTGTAGCCACCACACCCTACGCTATACTCCACAGGTTGTTGCAGCCTGCAGGGCCACTGCTCGAAGGCTCCTGCCACAGCGGGAAGAACCGTCACGATGTGCGTGGGACACACGCTCTGCCAGCCTGCCTGGAGGTCCCACCCCCGCAGGACGCAGCACTTACGCAGCACTGGCATGTTGGAGAGAGCCACATAGTGCGGGTGGTGAATGAGGGTAATAGTGAAGGTCGCCTTCAGAGCCGGCTCATCGAAACAAGGAAAGACATTCCTGGCGAATGTTGGTTCCAGCTGGGATGCTAACAGGACTCTGAAAGACGTTTTTGGGAAAAATTTGTTTATTCTGGAAACAAAAATAATTGACAGATTATAGCTTATAATTAAGCCTGGCATGTGGGAAGGAGACACATGCTTTTCCCTTCATCTTCCTCACTGCAGTTTTCCATAGCAAACACACACTCCAATTTTCACTGCACCTTAGGGTTCTCATGAGACCTAAAATACAAAAGAACTCTTTGATTCTCAACCACAAAATAATATTTACTTCATTACCTCACAGACCTTTAAGCAAACAAAATAGGAGCAAATACAGCAAACATGCCGTGCCAGCCTCCTGAGGCCAGGTCTTTTTAAACTTCTCCTTTGAAAAGAGCCTGTTGCTTTTATCCTCCACCAAAGCACGATCCGGGAAGAGTGCATCCTTTTTTCCCTCTTCTCTCACATGTCCCCTCTTCTTCCTGGTTGAAAACTTACAGAAGTTTTATTCTGGAAACTCTTGGAGTTAGACAATACGGGTACACCCCAGCTGAGGACAACTTTCAATCGTATATGGGTAGATGTATCAAATCCCTGCCGCTTCTTTCTTCACTTCCATGGAAAAATACAGAAAATGACATTATCCCATCGCGAACACGAAGATGCCAGCCTTACTCCACAAACACGGTCTGACTTTGGACGAGAGCACAGTCCCTAGCAAACAACCTGCTCCCCAAAACAAGTCTGCAGTCTCCGTCTGTCATTTGCCAAGGCTCAGGAACCTCTCTCAGGGGAAGACTGTGGATGCTAACTTGCTTTCCAGTGTAATGTCTGATACGTTACCCTTGCTTCGGGCCCGATAGAGGGACGAAGGCGCGTCAGCAGAGATAGCACACGGATGCACGGACCGCCCGTTACCTCCTTACGGCGAGGCCTCTGCTCGCGTCACACTCAGGTGGCTGCAGCACAGATGTGCAGGACAGTCAGCACGTTCCGAAAACGCTCACGGTCGGCCCGTGGGGCAAGCACAACCTCACTGTGGCAAAAGTGTCATTTCCAACATGCCTGTTCCGCCCTATTGCTTTTTCCAACTCTTATCTTACTCTTCTTACTCCTGGTGGAGGCCCGTGGGCTCTGACACTAGCCATCTTGTCTGCAAGCCCTGCTCCACCTGCCACAGCCGGGTAATTCTAGACAAGTACGAAATCTTGCTGAGCCTGTTTCCCCACCTAGAAAACAATGGCACCATCCATCTTATCTCCGCCATTTGAGCGTTTATAAGTAACTAAATTCACCAGTAGCTAAATCACCTTTGAGTTCTCCTATGTGCTTCTCAGTGTCACAAATTGCTCCTGCTGTAGATGACCAGTGGAAGAGATCAGAGAATGAAGCTGCAAGGTGTGGGTTAGAGGGATGTAAACCATTGAAAAGAATTTAAAAGGTCTCAGGGGCTACAAATGACCACCTGTATATGGGTCACGTGTGTTGTTCCAATAGATTTTTAAACGCTGAGTTCACAGCAATGGAGCAAGTACTTGCCCGGCCTTGGAGCTGTATCAGATAGTGGCAGCTTGACGTTAGTATATGCAAAAGGATATAAAATCTCGCAGTTTGTTATACTGCATTTGCTGTCTTGTAGTTTTGATTGTTATTTTTCAAAAAGGATGGGAGGCCAGCAGGTGGTGTGGTGGTTAAGGCGCTGGACTCCCACATGGCCAATTGTGATTTGAGTCCCAGACCTGGAGCCTTGAAAATCACTCCAGGCGTGTATGTGTGTGTCCCCAAAAATCCCAATAGGAGAGTGAAGAAGAAGAGATTGCAGTGTGCCCGTCCCCCTTGGGGGGTGACTTCTTACTTTCCCTCTCTTTGTCTCTCTCTGTCTCTCTCTGGCAAGCACAAGCACTGTATTGGCAAAAATCTTAAAAAAAAAATAGGAAGAGGCGGGATAGGACAAAATACAGAAAATTCATGCAACTGAAAATATAGCAGAAAGTAAGCTCTTGCTTTGGATCTGCTCTGTTAACCACCATGTACCTCTGGGACATTTGCTTAAAGTGTCTAGACATCATTTCTGTAAAAGTAAGTTCTTGCTTTGGATCTGCACTGTTAACCACCATGTACCTCTGGGACATTTGCTTAAAGTGTCTAGACATCATTTCTATAAATGCAGGAATGTGACTCATCTTTAAAGCCACTTAGAGCTCTACAACTATGATTCTGTTTTTTAATAAAAAAAATTTGCCCAAAGTCCCAGGAGGAAAATGGATTGTGATGTGGCCATCCTCCCAGGGTTTGATTTCTCACTTTCAAACTCTCTCTTTCCAGCAAGTGCACGTGCCCTATACCAAAAATCTCTCTCTTAAAAACAAACAAAAAAGCTGTAAGTAGCAGATTAATCAACAGCTGAACTAATATGTAGTAACATAATCTTAATTACCTAGAAAATGTAAACTTTATTTTCAAACAAGTCTTACACAGCCTTACATTTCATTTTTTTTCTTTAAAAGGAGTGAGTTGTGTGCAGGGGGGTTAAATGTTGTATAGACAAGGGAAAAAAACTGCTAGAACCACCTTATTCATCATCGTCCTATTCTTCATCTTCATCCTCTTCATCTTTCTCTTCTTGCTCGTCTTCCTCCTCCTCCTTTTTCTTGCTATTTTCAGCCTTGATAGCCCCCCTTTTTTTCTGCAGCCGATATATACCAATATCCTTTTCGTATTTCCCTCAGCTGAGCAGCCTTCTTTTCCTACGGCTGTTCACCCCATCTGCAGCAGTGCTATTCCGCATCTCTCCCAGTTTCTTTGCAACGTCACCAGCGGAGAGGCCAGGGTGGTCTTTGGCTTTGCAGTGATATTCAGAACAGAACGAGAAAAAGGCCGAAGGAGGCCTCTTGGGTGCACTGGGGTCCTTGAACTTCTTTTTCGTCTCCCCTGTAGGAGGGATATAGGTTCTCATTTCTCCTTCATAACGGGCCTTGTCCGCCTTTGCCACATCTTCAAACTTCCCTTTCTCTTTAGCAGACATGGCCTCCCCCCTCTCGGAGCACTTCTTAGAAAACTCTGAGAAGCTGACTGGAGCATCTGGGTGCTGCTCTTGTGCTCCTCCCGGCAAGTTTGCAGAAGAATGCATGTGAGGACATTTTGCCTCTCGGCTTCTGAGGCTCTCCTTTGCCCGGGTTTAGTTATCCTTCCTCGGCGAGGCACAGTCGCCCAGTGCCCGTCCGGCTCTCACCTACCCCGGCACTGTCTCTATCACAACTGTGATTCTAAGAGGGACAAAAATATCCTACAGAATGGAAACGAGCCCGTGAGGTGGCCACGGCCATCATTCTGAGTTGAGAGAAATAAACTTGGGGGTTCACACGGAGGTCTATGAGCCCTTCGAGATTACAGGACCGTTTGTATGAATGGCAGGACGTTAGCAGGAAAGGTGTGGTGTGGCGTGGAAAAGAACATCCAGCTGTCTAGATGTGTTTACATATTTGGAAAGCCAGCAAACACCGACTGTTCTTGAAACAGAAGATTCAGAAAGCAACGCTTGATAATACCTTGTCAAGGGCTGTCATTGCACAAAGCTCACGAATCTCTTACCACCGAGAAGATCGTACGCTGGGAGCCAGGAGAAAGTCAGTCTCATAGGCAGCAGGATGGGCCGGCCTGCAGCACTGTAGTTAAACGCACTGCAAAGGGAGTCGGATCCCAGCTGGGCAACTGTGGTTTGAACCCAAACCCCAGTAGCTTGAAAAATAGACCAGGCATCATGTGAGTGTCTCGGGGAGGGGGGGAGTGAGTGTGTGAGTGTATGTGTGGGTGAGTGTGTGTGTGAGTGTGTGTATGTGCCTGCCCCAAATCCCAAGAAGATGGAGAAATGAAAGGGTTGTGGCTCAGCCACTTCCCATTGAGGAACGGTTCTCTCTCTCTCTCTCTCCTTCCCCCCACTCTGGTAAACACACACGTACTCTGGCAATTCAAACCAACAGAGAACGTGGAGGTTGCGGCACTAGATCCCACATGGCTGACTGTGCTATTTGAGTCCCAGACGTAGGGCTTGAAAAATCACACCAAGTGTTGGGACCAGCAGTTAGCGTAATGGCTATGTTGCTGGACTCCCACGTAGTCGACCGCAGTTCGAGTCCCAGGTGGCTTAAACTCACGCAAGGTGCGTGTGCATGCGTGCCCAAGATCCTGAGAGGAGAATGGAGGAGAAGGGATTGCGGCGTGGCCATGGCCCCTGGGGGGTGATTTTTTGCTTTCTATCTTTCTGTCTCTCTCTGTCTTTCTGGCGAGCACACATGCCCTATAGCAAAAACCTCTCCAAAAAAACAAAAAAAAAAACCAAATCACACCAAGTGCATGTGCAAGCTTGCCCCAAACCTGAGTGGAGAATGGAGAAGAAGAGATTACGATGTGGCCATTGCCCCAGTGGGTGATCACTTTCCCTTTCTCTCTGTCTCTGTCTCTCTCTGGTGAGAGCGTGCACCCTATACCAATAACTACAACACCACAAAACAAAAACACCGAAAGGAAGTAGGAAGTGGGAAACTTTTACGTTATGGGTTGAAAAGGCTAAGAGACACCAGCTTAGAGTCAGCACTGTAGCAAATCAAACATCAAGCAAGTGTCTTCCAATTCTCTAATTTAGGTCTCCAGAAAAATAATGTAAAAGAAACTCTCTGGGACTTCACTCAAATATTTTACTCCCTAGTTTTACACAAACAAAAAGTGATGGGAAACCCCACAGCACAGCCTGTCGGGCTCTCCAGCATAACTGCGAGGGACGGAGCCCAGGCCGGTACAGACGACCTAGTTACCGACATCGGGGGCTCCCAGGGGGCCGTTTCCTTCCCTTCTCACCCTGCTTAGGACTCAAGGATATTCTGACCTTAGAAAGCAGAGCCAGCCACCACCCTCTCCCTTCGAATTCTAGTGAGACATGCGATTACGGTGACCGTTAATGAATTCTAGTAAGCCTGGCCAGGTGAGGGGGTTACCTGGGAGAACTGGTCTCCTGGTGGCTCAGTATTGCAGCCACGTTGCTGCCCTCTTGTCTAGACA